GAAGAGGAACACCTCCACTCCGTTGGAAGGACCAATCCACGTAGCCAAAAGAAGAAACGACTGGCGCGCGGTTGTAAACTCTGCTATAATCGCGGAAGCGGTGACTACGCCAATCAAGAGGAAGAAGTAAATGAAATCGATTTATATTATGGTGCAAACCTTATATCCATAAAATATAGTAATAAAACTAAATTAGTCCATGACATACTATATAATATAAGTTAATAAGATAAAAATTTTGGGGAGTTAATTTACTATTTCGTTGAACAATGAATCTTAAATTCTTTCGCAACATTTAAAAAAAAAAAATCTTTATCCAACAGCTGAAAGTACACATTTTCCCTACATTAATCCTGGAAGGGGAATGAAGTGTTCGGTTACACACGAACTAAAGCTTCTCCACATGTTAGTTAATCGATTTAATTTAAAATAAATTTATCAGTATTTCTACAATTTATTCATTCATATTTATTTATCTTGGAATCAGTATTAACACCAACCACTATGCAAGTCTTGAAAAATAAAGCATAATAACTTTTGCCAACAGGTGCAACTTCGGATTTTGTAGGCCATTAAAGAGTAAATTCCTCTCTCGACGAACCAAGACCAAATTCTATAAGTCACTCATTATTCCCATCCTGCTATATGGTGCAGAGGCAAAGGCGATGGCGAATATCGCATTCGATGGAACGATGAGCTGTAYGAGATATACGACGACATTGAACTAGTTTTGCGAATTAAAAGATAGCAGCTACTCTGGCTAGGTCATGTCATTCGAATGGACGAAAACACTCCTGCTCTGAAAATATTGGACGCAGTATCCGCCGGGGGAAGCAGAAGAAGCGGAAATCCTGAACTCCGTTACAAAGAGGAGGTGAAGAAGGACCTGACTTCGCTTAGAATGTCTACGTCATTAACGAAGAAGAATAAAAACTTAGAAAATGTGCTCAGTGACAAACCGTGGAAGTAACGGCGAGTTCGTTCGGAGATGGACCGGAGCTACTTTGTGTTGTTGTTGTTATGTTGATTCTGACAAAATATGTCCAAACTTTCCTGGAACGGGTAGGTTTTGATAAAAAAAACATTTTTTCCGGGGAATCTAGTACAAATTTCTGGGTGCTTTTTTGTCACAATAAATATAATAAAAAGTTGCACTAAGAAAAAAAGATAGCTGTTTTCATCTATACATTAAATTTCATGAATTTAACTTTGCCTGTGTTACTTTTTATTTCCATTTTCATTATTTTAATTTAAAATTTTGCAACATTTATCAACATTTTGTCTAAGTTCAAATCATAGCACAGATTTAAATTAATTTTTTTTTTAATTTTTTAATTCTTTATTATTTGATATTTTAATTTAATTTTCATAATCGTCGAACCTCTTCATATATTTTTGTTATTCTAATTTTCCCAAAGAGGAAACGGTTGCCATATTCGTTATAATGATGGTAAAATTTTACTTGGTTCCTTTTTAAAGTGATATATTTTGTTGTGTTCTTTTATAAAGCTGCAAATGTTTTTTTATGATATGGTGTATTTTTAATTTCAAAGTTGCGCTTTTTCGTTGTTCCATTTTATGTATTTACATTTTAGAATAACTAACATTTCCGCCTTCTCTATTCTTTACGAAGAATTTATTGAATAACCATATTTTGCCCGAAATTTATTTTAAGGATCGGACACCATACCATATGTATTCAGCTATTTGCATTTTTGATCTATGGATGAGGTAGTTTTAACTTCCGGCTTGGCGGTTGATTAATTGAGCATTTCTTCAAGTTTTAGAAAACAATGATTGATTGATTGAAGAGAATACTTGCCAGAAGAAATAAAATAAATGTGATAACTTTGTACTATTGCTTTCCACATTTCTAGAATTGTTGATTGGTTAGATGGATGACGCCCATAAATGAATGGGATTTTAAGTACGTAAATGTATTTAACATTATATCTAAGTCAAAATACTTAATTAAAAAACAGTTTGATACCATACATATAGATTTATTGGATCTTAAAACGTTTTAACTGTATTTTTGGCACAAAATAATTGAACGGTTATAAAAATGTATGTTTTAGTTTATACACCTTTATTATTTTAATATTTACATAATTGAATAAAATTTGTGGTTGACATATTATGATTTTTATGCACATTTGTATTTAATAAAATTTTTCACAAATGCAATACTATATAAACCTCTGACCCATTCACAGCCATCTACGTGAAACAAATCGCAAACTTAATAACAATTGAAAACAAATATAATTGTATAAAAGTTTAAACAAATCGCTGCTACAATAATCCCCTCAATTTACAATATAATATGTTCAAATATGTTAAAAGTGACATACTGAAAGTCAACATCATTCCGTTAGGTTGAAAATTTTTAATCGGGGTCAACGAGGTCATTATATGTCAATGTTAAAATTTAACATGTTTATGCAAACAGTTGATGCAAAAAAACTATATACATTTACTTTCCAATTTTAAATTGAGCTGTTTTTACTTATGAAATATTTTATAAGAGTAGAACCATTTAATGCTTTTACGTCATTTCATTTCTGATAAGCATTGAAACGGCTGTGTAATTAGAAGAACTGTAAGTTACAGTTTGGCTAGAATTCTTCAGAAGTTTTTTCAGGTCTATTTAAGTAAGTATTTAACCAGCACTGCATTCACAAATTATAAATATTATTAATTATATAGCACAATGTGACAATGGGCGAATGGAGTTAAAATGAGTTAGTACAAAATGCTTTAAGAGTATGGTACAAGGGGTCCAAATTAAAGGTTTAATTAAAAAAAAAAAAATCTGAAACACAGCAATATCACTGAATAATGGCGTAGTTTTCTTGACACCTTCCAACGACTCACATCAAGAAGCACGGGCGTAATGGATTGTATGTGAAAAGTTATTATGAAAGAGATAGCATTATTTATGGCTGATGCCCTCAGTAAAGCAGTTGAGCTTTAAGACCAAGGCCTTATTTTAACTACTATATTTATTCAACTGAACAAGCGCAAATAAATATTTAGTAGAGAAATATGACCTCAAAAAGTATATTTCTAAAAATTCTTGTCTTTATATACAATAGTAAAGGTCTAATAAAATGGTACCAACAAAATGCAATGCTTTGTTTAAGAGATTGGCCTCTTAAATTCACTCAACTTTGTAGATTTTTATGTAAGTGATCTGCAAAACTGGCTAGTTACTATAGTTATATGACGATACACCAGGTTGATTACTTGCCTTATATTTTAAGTGGGAACGCCGAGCTCCAGTTAAGTTCGAAATGTTTAGAGTATAAGGAAAATTCAGATAAAGGGGTCATGAATTATACGTTTCAATATTTTCAATTTAATTCATTAGAAAACTTTAGCAATTTTCATCTACATATCACGTAGTCATATATTTTATAATGATCAATTTAGCAGCAGTGGCAATCCCGCGACAAAAGTAAGTAAATATTAAAGTAGAAACTACATGTATTAAAAGAACAAAAGGTACCCTTGCCCTATCATACGTTTGTACAGACTGACTTTTATAATCCATATGTACATATAAAAGTGCACAAATATAGTATATATATATATAGTCGTATTTATGGTATATTTGCGCATTGCTTACGCCACAAACTGCCGCAGAGCGCTTTTCAATACAGCCGGAGAATACAAATGTTTAAATATGATGTGCGGAACACAATGCTCGCGACAGACTGCAGCGGCAGGACAGTGAACTGAAAATGGCGTTGTGAATCGTACTTCATGAACGTTTGTAAGAGAGCGGCAACATAACAATGGCCGGCATGTACACGAAACAACGCAGTTGTCCATTTTGCATGTACACAATTTCGTTGTGGCCATACTAATACCTTGCACTTCAATGAAATTTTAATATTTTTTTCAAAGCGAAATTTAAGCAAAAAATAGGTAAATATGTACATTTATTTGTTTAAATTATCAATTGTTATTATAAATGATGTAACAGATCTATTTTATGCTTTTATTTGTAAAATAAGGTCAGGTTTGTTAGAGCTTTGAGTAATTTTACATTTTACATATTAGTGGCATCACCACTCTACCTCATCTCTCTATCTTCCATTCTAATGTCAACTCTACTGTCGCCCTACTGTCGTTCTCAAATAAAGGATTAAATTGAAGTTAGCGAGAATGACAACTGTCGGCCTGAAGTCGTGTCTGCACGACTGCAGCTGTCAAAGTAGCTCCGTCCATAAGAACGTGTGTATTTTAATATTTGACAGATGTCGTTTGCAGTCTGTCGCGAGCATTGTATTCCACACATGAGCATTAACGATTTCAGATGTTGTTTCTTACAAGTATCTATACATACTTTAGTAATCAGTGAACCGAGTTTATTACTTCTAAGTATATTATTTTTAACAACTTATTATGTATTTCCTATGAACGCAGTAACGGAATTCAATATATTCAATAGTGCTGCTGAGTCAAATAAGCAGGCTCTGCTGTATATTTGCACGTTTGTCTATGCTCATATTGGTATATATGTAAATATGTACATAGTATATCACTTTGTATAATATGAAAGTATATACCTAGACATATTGCAGGTAGACATGCACAAATCATCATTTGTGTAAAGCGAATACACGTGCCACATTATGTGATTCATTAAGATAAATAGAGAATACAAATGGAAAATAATATTTAAATTAAAAATATAATAGGCATACTAATTAAGTAACACATATTTTTACATATTTTCCTGATCAAGCACTTCCCACATTTGCATTTGGTATATGTATAGTATGGATATAAAGTACAAAAATCATGAACCGCGATGCACGGAAAATGCTCAGCTATGTATTTTTCCTGTTTCTTCAGGTAGGAATTTATTGGCATACATACACCGTCTGGGCAGCCATCACGCACATCTCATCGCTAAGAACAGCTTTTATACATACTTTTATAAAACAAATGCACGTTTTCTTTAACTTTTCACTGAAAATTATACTTACTTGCCGCTTTGTATAGGTATTGGTGCGAACGAACGAGCACTTCTCCACAAATATCACTGYACTTATTCACAATATTTCGACCAACTTGTTGGACGTAAGGAAATGTAATTTTACTAAAATTTTGGAGGAAGAAATGTTAAAATTATGTTCACTTCAGTGGCAACACCAAACGCACCACAATTAAACAAAAAAACTTCACTTTTTTAAAATGCTTGAATAGAAAAATGCAATCAACAAAATGCCCCTACTATTTTACACTCTTTCTGTGTTGGGGGTACACACGAAAAGCAGGAAATATTTGGAATATGTAAAATATTTACCAAACGTCAAACTAGCTAATCGTAATAAAATGTATAGGTAGACAACGTACGCGGACGTGGTGGCCAATGTCGGTGATGATTCGGTGTCGACACCAATATCGACAACTGCTAAGGCGATGGCAGTTAGCGAAGTACTGACTGGTGGCACTGGTGTAACTAGCAGTGGAGGTATGGCATTAACGCGGCATTTGCTGTCAGCTGTTGCCTCGAGAGTGCGCGAGAATTCCTCACAAGAGAATTGCAAAAGAAAGAAAATAAATGTAGTATATGTATATTCGAGTCACTTTGATAACGTTATGGTTCTGTTTATTTTCGCTTAAGAATATACATAAATACGTATGTGTACATACATATATGTGCGTTTGAATATTTGTACTTGAAAGTGGTGTATATATATATTTATTTATTTATTCAAAAATACCTATACATACATAATCAACATATTTTTTGGGAAACTTATTTTAGTGTAGCTTTGATCTACGAATACGCCATTAAATAAGCTATAGTATCCGTAATACATATGTATAATAGATTAGTAAATTTGGTCACATATGAATAAAATTTAGTTTTTCACTGAAAATCTGATCCGATCTGCCAACAGTTTTTGAGATATCTGAGTGAAATTTAATAACTAGGTGTATTTTGAGTATTGTATTTATTTATTCAAAAAATTCGTTGGAATCGGCCAGATTGGACAACTATATCACATATCTTACATACAACCAATTCGCTGGCTCGAAATCGATTTTAGGCAAAGATGTTCACAATTATCCGTAGAACAATTTCCGTATACGCAATTTTTTAGCAAACAAGTAAGGAAGGGCTAAGTTCAGGTATAACGGAATATTCATACTCTTGTAACTTATAAGAATTAAAGATGGGAAGTACCTTCAGGAACATAAGGCTTGTTTGTTATATGGGGTCTGGGGAAAGTTTTCAGCCGATTTAATTAATTTTAAGCACAACGTTATAAGAAAGAATTTTATTAATATAATCACATATGTATATCGGATATGCGGTATAAAGTCACACGAAAGTTCGTAATTCTTTACAATAGTTATATGGGGACTAAGGTTATTGATGGTATAAGAGTATTGACCCTATTTGACCCATTTTTATAATAGAAAGTGAAAGTTGCAAATGCATTTTAGAATATTCGATTTCGTCCATTTTCACAATGTGAAGTAGTGGGAGGTTCTAGGCCCATAATTGTAATTTTTCCATTACCTTTAAATGGGAAGAGGGTTTGCCTATCATCCGATTTCACATATATTTTCACACTGTCGGTAGGAAAGTTCTCTGATCGCCATTCACTTGGGAGGGGCCTGACACAATTTTTTCACATATGGCTTAACCGCTCATCAGCTGGTTGATGTTTTCTTTAAATTAAAGGCTGACATCGCCGCCGTCCAAGAAATGCAATGGACGGGTCACGGACTGTGGCTTATCGCATTTACTACAGTGACCAGTGTGAGATTCGTGGTGGGAGAGAGACAAAGTCAGCGAGTCCTGGAATTCACCCGGGTGTATCAACATATCGCTGATTTGCGCCCACGCCCCGACGGAAGAGAAGGACGATGTGCCCAAAGATCCCTTCTATGAGCGCTTGGAGCACACCTATGAGAGATGCCCCGGCCAAGATGTCAAAATCGTGCTTGGCAACTTTAATGCCAGGGTGGGCAAAGAAGGTATCTTTGGTACAATAGTCGATAAGTTCAGCCTACACGACTTCGCCGGGGTCCGTAATTTGGTCATATGTAGTACTAGATTCCTATATAAGAAAATTCATTAAGCAGGCTGGCTGTCTTCGGAGCGGAAAGCCACCAACCAGTTTGATAATATTGTGACAGACGGAAGACATGTCTGCAGTGTTCTTAGCATGCGTGCGCTCCGAGAACTTAACATCGACTCGAATCGCTGTCTTGGTATAGCGAAGATACGCACCCGCCTTTGTGCAGCAAAAAACGCACGCCACCAAACGTAAGGAAGGTTCGACGTCGAGAAGCTATAATCACAACAGACAGCCGAACGATTTTCTATTCGACTTGCACTCCTGTTCTCTGAGAGCATTCATCAGCAACTCGGTATAAGGGAACTGTAGGACGACATTTTAAGCTCCTTGTTTGTAGTTGCAAGCGAAACCATTCGTTTTCGTAAAATTCTAAAGAACAGCTATAAGGTGCGTTCCAAAATAACCAATCTGAATCTATCTGATGGTGCCATCTAATGGTCGACTGGTGAGTTAGAATCTGCCATATTTATCAATTGTCATGAATTGGATTTGAAGTTATTGCGTTTTAAGTTTCAGTATGTTTGTGTTATCGGCGGGAAAATGAGCTTCGAAAACAGAGCTTCGAACATTGAATTTTGTTTTAAAATTGGTAAAACTTTTACTGAAACGTTTCAATTGATGAAAAAAATTTATAGTAATGACTGCCTATCCCGTAGCAGATTGCACCAGTGGTTTCAACGTTTTCAAAGTGGTCGTGAGGACATAAGTGACCATCAACATGTCGGCCAATGAAAATCCGTCATCACCGGAAATTCCATCGAAACTGTGCGTGAATTCATCAAAAATCAACCGAAATCGTCATTGAAATTCATGGAAATGGAAAGCCTCTATGGGCTTATGAAAGGTGTGTGCATGGTTTGTTTTGCACAAATTGACTGACTACCAAAAATTGCTTAGATCGATCGAAGCTTGTGACCGAGTATTTGAACAAAAATCACATTTTAACCACAAAGCGACTTCTTCCTTTTCTTACTTACCAGATATTCATCATGCGCAAAACCTTATCTACTGCTGGAAAAAATAATTCGAGCTGCAGAGCTTAATGAAGGGGTACAACCTTCTTTAAGAGTGTAAAGCTGGGGGCGTACGCCGATAATATTGAAATCATTGGCTTCATCATTCCCATCATTAGTTCTGCTTTCTCCAGACTGGATAAGAAAGCGAAGCAAATGGGTCTGGTAGTGAACGACGGCAAGACGAAATATCTTGTGTCATCAAACAAATAGTCGTCGCACACGCGACCAGGCTCCCACATTACTGTTGACAGTCATAACTTCGACGTCGTAGATGATTTCGTCCATCTTGGAACCAGTATTATCACAAATAAATTACAGTTCCATTTTAAATATACTATTAAACTTTGTAGGAATATATTGCAAATTGACCCGCTTGCATACATCCTACTCTGGTCATTTCATTTCCTTCAAACTAATCCCCTTCCGCTGCAATGTGACCGCGGAGTGGTCATGTGAATGCTGAATAGCCAGAAGTTATACGAAGGTAAATCACGCGAATGCGGTGGTTGCGGCACGATATTAGTTTAAAATGTAGCGAAATGATCATGAATAACCAATGTATCGGGTGATTTTTTTGAGGTTAGGATTTTCATGCATTAGTATTTGACAGATCACGTGGGATATCAGACATGGTGTCAAAGAGAAAGATGCTCAGTAT